TGACTTACTTATTTAAATTACTAATTTACTTACTGCTAAAATTAACCCATTAATATTAAAAGCACTAACCGATCTACCGTTGAAATAATGCTGTTCAAATTACTCACCTATTTTTAAAATCACCAATGCCCATTATTAAAATCATTATTCTACCCACCATTAAAATCGGTAATTACCTATCGTTGCAATCACTAACTTGCCCATTCATTTTTTAAATTATGACCTTGCCTATCATTGAAATCATAAAATATAGAAAACAAATAAATCTTCACAGTATCAAATATTAGTATATTATTCGCAAAAAATGCTTATTGACTAAGCTATGCAGATACATGTTAAAGTTTTGTACCCAACACTAACCATTTAGTTAGTTAGCTAGAGAGAGTTTTAGTCAGTTCTTAGTTTGTATTTTTAGTTGGGTTTTAGTAAGTTTGGAGAAATAGAGATATTAGTACTGTTAGTGTCTGGGACACAATAGAAGATATTGGTTTAGTACATTTGGTACTTGTAAAGAGATAATAAATACCTGCTCTCTTCTTTTTAATGTTGACATTCCTGAGTTAAATTAGTATTGATATAAGAAAGTCTCTCCCACTGGACGTCACACTAAGTTAATTATGCCTACTTTTCAACAAACCACGGCACCACTTTTCAAATTTTCCTAACCTGTTAACCTTTTCAACAATATTATGAATACTTGCGCATTTTTTACACTATTCTATTCTATTAGAACAGCTAGCAATTTCAGTCTTATACTTAATTCTCTACCTACAATTCAGTTTTTGATTTCGGATAAGAATCAATTGCAAGCGCTATTTTCACTTCTATAGAAATCTAAAACACTTTTTCATAAAATAGTAGCACTAAAGTTAATCCAGTTTCTGGTTTCATTGCACAGCTGCCTAATTTAATTGTATCGTGAAGTAATCTTATCAGAAACGGAATGCAATCAGTATGGGGAGTAAAAGGTGCGTAAAATTACTAGCCTCTAATTGGATAAACAGATCGGGTTTGAGCGGGTTAATTAACAGAGCCCGACCTGACCCGATGCTTTAATAGACCTGACCCGAGCCCGACCCGATTCATAACGGGCCTAAAATTTGAGCCCGACCTGGGCCCGAACCCGACCCGACCCACAAAATTACGGGTTAAACCCGGCCCGTTCCGTACCCTAATGGTAGAGTTGACTCTTCCAAAGAACTTGGTAGCTAGATTGATTGGAATAAAAGTAGTGCATTTGTCAGCAATAAGGTGAGAGTTCAAAGGATAGTTCAAGTATTGATGAGTAGTAATTAGTGGTGTTGGATATAATTGAGTAAATTGAAACTCAATTGTGCATTGCCAGTGTGTATTTAGTGAGGGTGTGCACTTATAGAGCATGCACTTAGAGAGGTCTGACTGTATATTAATATTGCTTATAAATAATTTAATTACAAATTCAGATTTTATAGCAACATGATACATTTAATTATTGTTAATTTTTAACAGCAGCCCTGGTAAACATAATTTTGCTAGAATTATTATATAACTCTGGTAAGTATTATCTTGATAAAATTTATTAGTATAACTCTGTAAATATAATTTTGTAAATTTAGTAGAATAATTCATAGCTCTAGTCAGAGTTGTAAAATTATAGAAATTTATTGTAAGTTACCAAAATAGTGAGTTACTCTTAAGTTACTGTAAGTTACAGTGAAAGTAATTTATGCTTTATTCCGAAAGTCTCTGTGTTTCATATTCATTAATTGCTTACTATTATGAAATTTTCTGATAATGTTCGGACTTTCAAATGAGTATTTGGTATCCTACTATGAAAACTTATAGTAATTTACTGTAATTTACTGGTAAGTTTACCACTAAAAAACCCTGGCTCTGGTAGGCTAAATTAATTTGTAACTCTGGTAAGCATAATTTTGGTTAAAGATAATTGATGAAATTATATTTGAATTGACAAAAGGTATCATCAAATTACATATTTGACGAAACCTTGATGATTGACGAAACTGTTGATGATTGACGAAACCCCTGACGATTGACTAACCACTTGACGAAACCTTTGATGGTTGAGAAAACCTTCGTCGAAACCTTGACAAACTGACCTAGAAACAGAACAAGACTCTGCTGTCATAAAGTAATGTCATTTCATTATAAATTTTTATATATTTGTACATAATAGAAATTATAATCTGTGCTTGGTTTATGGTCATTTGATCGACAAATTCCATTCAATGAACTTACATATGCTCGACCAATTAAAATTTATTGCATACAAATAAACAAATATGATGTTTTCATTTATAGATGAAATAGGGTTTTCTAATATTAGATAAAGCTTTCTCGGTAACTATCTAATTAAATTCAATAAAATTTTTCTATTTCAATTTTACACATCTGTAAGAAATTTTATTGAAGTTAGTTAGAGAAAACTTTATAAAACATGTCCTGTTTATTAACGAAACTTTAAAGATTGTTTATATATATGTAATCAATTTTGATTGGTCGAGTATACATAAGTTTATATGATTATCATCATGTGACTATAATCCACAATTTTTGTTTGGTTTGTTATATGAGATTCTGTAATTCTATTGGCTTATAAGTTTCATCATAAGTTTCATCATTTGTCATAGGTTTTGTCAATCATCAATTCGTCATTTCAAATTGGCTTGACGAAAGGTTTCATCAATAGTCACTAATGAAAGTTTCATCATTCGTTAAGCATCTTTAATTTAGATAACTATAAAGTTAACCTGATCCTATGATAAACATACTATGATGTCATTTGTTACATACCTAGTTATACAGGCCGATGAAAAATCTGCGGGTCAAGGGCCGATACAGGGTGGGTCGACCCGGGTCGACCGGGCAGTTTTTTACAATATATAATTTTTTAGCCAATCAAATTACAAAATGGTTACAATTTTTTTTTTAACGTTTTTTAACGTTTATAATTTTTTAGATTTCGCGACATTTTAGATTTGTGACGAATAGATCTAGATAGATCTAAAACACATACTCTAAGATATGTACATACTTTATCCTACAATTAACCTTCAACTATGATAAAAACCTATATAGTATGAGCGAAGAACAAAAAAAAAGGTACCCGCAAGCTGATTTTACTAAAAAAAAACCTTTACTCAAGCCCAGGATAAACGTTGAATAGATCCGAATTTGTTTTTAAGAACAATATGTCATGCACTGTATTTGGATCTAAACGATTTCGTTTTTTTGTTAGAACATTACCTGCATCAGAGAATAAACGTTCAGAAGGTACGGAAGTTGCTGGAAAAGCAAGAAATTTTCAGGCTAACGTTGCTAAATTTGGGTAATCCTTTTGATGCATACTCCACCAGGTAAGAGGGTTGTGGGTTTTGTAAAGTGGGTGGTCTATGTGATATTTATTCATTTGTATTGCTTGTTCATACCATTCTAATTCATTATCTAATGGATAATCAGATTGATTATCACCGTCGAAAAATCGATCCATTTCAGTTTGTTCTGGGGTATCAATGGTATTTGTTTTTATCATTTCCGCAATCATTTCTTGAACTTCTTTTTTTTTTTCTTTGTCAAAGGACATACTTTTGAATCGAGGATCTAGGTAAGAAGCAATGTAAGCCTCTATTAAAGGTGCTTCTCAACGTTTAGTCATAGAATCTTCAATTTGATGACAAATATTAAGGATATTGGATGAAGTTAGTGACACTTTCATTCGGTACAAGTGTGTGAATAAAAGGGAGATAGTAGGAAGCATCATGCCAAGGGTTGGATATTGTGCTCCTCCGATTAATTTTGTTGTTTGAGCAAAAGGACCTAAAAGTAATGTTAGTTCCTCTAATTCCATCCATTCTGTCTTTGTGAGTAATTTTTCACTTAAAGTTTGTCCATCCTTTCTTTGTTGAAAATCAGGATGACGACATAAAGACCTTGCGAGTTGCTCTACAGCATCTCGTAATTGAAGTAACCTTTTTAAGACCAAAAAAGTAGAATTCCATCTGGTCTTTACATCACGAATGGGTTCGACGATGGATAAGTTATTTTTTTGTTGTGATTGTGATGTTGTTGGTTGTTCTAATGATTCAGTCAAATCTTCAGGTTCTGATTCCGAATCTTCATCTTCCAATAGTAGCTATTCTGTGTCTTCCAAGGCACTTTCTGACAACTGATTAAATTCATTTTGAATATTACGAAAACTTTGATGATATCGATCTCTCTTTACTAACCAATTGTTTAATTTTTTTGCCCTATTTAAAAGATCATTACAAGCATTAAGTCTATATTTAATGGATAATTGAATCGTATGGGCAGTGCAACGTATATGAGGTATTCCGAGAAGCCGCATTCCTTTAACAATTGATTTATCATTATCAGTTGTTCCTCTGACCAATTTATCACGTATATTCCAATATTCAAAAATTTTTGATAAAAATTGTTCTTGGCATTCTCCTGAGTGTGAATAAGGAAATTCCTCTATAGTTAACGCTGCTTGATATAATTTAAAATTATTTGAAAGCCAATATATAGTTACACCAATATAAGGACGATGCATACTGGTCCACATATCTGTGGTAAAAGAAAATGTTTCCATTGTTTCTGATATTAAATTACGCAATTGATCTTCAGCAAAGAGCACTGATTCTCTAATTTTTGTTTTAATTAGAGCTGAGTTGAGAACCTTAAAACGAGGATCCATCTCATAACAAAATTGTCGAAAACATCTTCCTTCCACAATGGTCAATGCTTGACAATCATCAACTATCCATGCAGTCAAACGATAAATAATTTTTGTTGCTTAACCGGCTTATGAGCTTCCATTTTTGAAAACATTGAAGGTATGGTCAGCATTAATTTATCTGGATCTATTATTGTTTGTCCATCTGAATTTTTTCCGTATTGTTGATAAGAAAAAATTCTGTGGACAGAATTGAGGTGTTCACCAAGATGCGTGGTTGATGTTGCAATACTAAATGTTTTATCACATTTTTTTTCATTTCCATTTAGTTTAGTTATAACTACATCACATCTAATTTTTTTTTTTGATTTGTCCTTTTTTATATAATCCCAAACCCAACTAGGAGCCCTTGCTGCTAATTTTGTTTTATTTGATTTGCTTACACGATTTGTTAATATTTTAACATCTGGAACTTTTAAAGATTGATCAACCGCAATTACTTGATGATCCTCATTTTGTTCTTGAGATGAAAAATGAAGTGGCGAACCCATATTATATGATGTTTGGCTTGAGAGCTCTTCACTTTCAGTTCTTTCAGTTACAGAATCTTCCTCTATTTGACTAATTTTTTGCACTTTATTAGGTCGAGTTTCAGGTAATTCGGTATTAATTTTATTTGATGACCCTGAGACATCAGAGGTGGTTTGTTGAACTCTTTTTTTTTTTTGAGATCGGGTGTTATATTTTTTTTCGATCATAATTAAGGAATAAAGTGCAACTAGAAAGACTTATTTGAATTGTATTAGAAGTTGGATTGAATTAGCGTTTTGAAAAAAAAATTATTTATGATTTGCTTTAAGAAGAATTTTGTAATTTTTATTATATAGTTTAGCTTTTTAGAGAATATTTAAGCTTTGATCAGCATATGTAGAATGGAATTGGAGTAAATTTTATTATTGTTATTAGAAACTATTATGCTCTTTACAGGACACGATACTCTATATATACTCTTTAGCTTAGACCCGATTACATATATATGAGGTAAGGAAAATGAAAAACAATGTACTATGTGCAAGAAATATAGTAATGTAGTAATGAGAATTCACTAATGTAATAATAAAAGTAATTATTAACTGAAAATGAAGTAATAACTGTGATAACATAATGTAATAATGATCTACACAAAATGAGGTAATAAAACAATGCCAAAGATAACGTTAATGACAAAATTAATGAAAATTTTAGCGTGACAAGTGGATTTTGCAGCGGGCAAATTTATATCATATTGAATAATAGTATGGGCGAATTAATTGCAACAATATAAATTTTTTTTTGGGGGGGAGGCTGGGAAGGACACTACCAAAGAGCCAGACTAAAGTCAGGCAGCAAAAGAAAAAAGCACTATCCTTTCCATCCCAGTTTATATATACAAATCGCTAATTTTTACAATCCTTACAGTTTTCTATCCCTAATATATACAACGCATTCAATCCTTATATTATTTTTTTTACATAACCTTACTTATACAACGCATTCACTTCTTATATTTTCACATCTAACCCAAAATAGCAATCAATAGAAATTGCCATTATTTCGTAATAATTTTAATATAAAGTGTATAATGGCACGACACTAATGCTAATGCGTGTAAAATCTTAGGGACATATAGATAAACCCGGATAAAGATAGTTTACAAATAATCAATAGTAACGTTTTACTATCACACTATATAATAAATTATATAAAATTTTATTTTGGTAAAAAAGATTAATTGGGTCGGCCCACAAAAACATGGGTCGACCCTCAACCCGCCCACCGGCCCGGCCGATAGGTCAGGGTTGGCCCATATCACTAATTCTTAGACATGCCCATATCATGTGATCATGAAAAAATAACAACGCAATGATTGGCTAATATAAATCTAATGTAATCTACTATATAAGAACAATCTTAAAGTCAAATATTGTATCTTGCAAGTACATCAGGAAATTTTTTTTAGTGCAGTTTTGTGCAAAACTGCAAGAAAAATAAATAATAAAATAAATAAAGATTTGTGCAAAATTTCAAACCTGGCAGCTATAGCCACAGAAAATTAAGCACAATTCTGCAAAAAACTTTAAATTTTAAAAATTTTACAAATTTTTTAGTGTAAATCTGCAAAAATCTGCATTTTGACAGATTTTTGCAGATTTGAATAAAAAAATTTTTCTGATATAATTTACTTATAAATGCGAGGCTTATGCCAACTTTCTAATCTTATGATTCCTAAATAATTTATCCCAATCTTTTTACACCTTCTGCATAATATTGATGGATAATAATTATCATTAATGGGGTGTGTGGCTGTGGTTTCATTAGTAAAATTTTGAGTAATTTTGGCCTAAATTATTGATTGTCACTTATAGCCAATCAAAATCAAGAAATTCCATGAAATTTTGGTATAGCAGCTAGGTTCAATATATTATATAATGGAAAATAGAGATAATAATTATCTCGCAATCTTATCACCAACATTATAGTCACTGTGCCCTTGGCATGATGCTAAGGCGTAATAATTGTTTCGTGATCTCAATAATTAATGTATAATAATGATCTCGCAATCTACAACAATCAACCCAAATATAGAAATTTTGAATTTGTATATATAACCTAATTAGGATATATCATGGATCTTAAATCTGCAATCGTGAATTAAAATAATTTTCTATTTTTGTTATTATGGTTTTGGTTCAGACCATTTATCATCTACTAAATAAAAAATATAAATAATATAAGACTAATAACTAAATATGAATACAAATATAAGATAATTGAATAATATAATAAAAAAATTATAGTCTTCGAAAAAAAACTTTAACAATGCAATTACATAAATCTTTGATGATTGATTATGCATCGCTAATAATAAACTGATCAATATGAATAAGAATATCACAAAGTAACAATAAAAAATTTTATTTAACTTATTAATTAAAAGTTATTAATAATATCATTATGCAAGTTCCTTCTGGTTTTACTCTTCCACTTTCAATACAAGGCCATCAGTAGTCTGGTTTTTACCTTCTGAAAATAAGAAAGAAGGAAATAGATACAGCGCAAAATGCAAATATTGTTTAACAGAATTAAATGGCAAGCCTGAAAGGTTTCACCAACATGTTCTTTGCTGTAATGATTGGCCCGTTTCTGATAAAACTACTTATTTTCATAAGATTGCTGAAGAAAGTTCTTCATCTCGCAAGTGTAACTGTGATAGTGATGATACTTTAACTGAGCAAACTATTCAAGAAGATGACAGTGCGCAGCAATTAACAATGTTTCAACCTCATCAAGAACCTATTCTTAAATGGTTTGCGCTGCCTTTATCACAAGCACAGTCCAAAAAACTTCATTAAAAACTTCTAAAGGCTATGATATGCGGAAATAATTCATTTCACCTTGTCAAAAATCTATATTTTCAAAACTTTCTTTATAAATTAAATCCATATTACTATCCTCCTTCTCAAAGTATGGTTAAAGAGCGTCTTCTAACCAAGATGCTTTTTGACCATATGCTGGAAAAATTAAATACTCTTCCTACCTATACCGATCTTACAATTTCTCTTGATGGATGGACTGATAATTTCGGAAATTAAATTTACGGATTTATAACCCTTAAAGAACATCAAGAGTTTGTACTGGATATTATGGATTTATCTGCATATCATCACATGGCAGAATTTCTTAAAAACAAAACACTAGAGGTTTTATCTACAAATAGTATTTAAATGCCATCTGTTATTGCTTGTGTCACAGACAATCCTTTGAATATGGATAAAATGAGGAGATTAATTAATGTAAATATAACCAAATATTAAAGAAATCTAAACTATTATGGCTTATACCACAACTAGTTGCGGCGTAGTTGTAATAGCTTTGATTATATATATTATTAATATATAAAACTTACATATTTTATAAAGTTTTAGGATGAATACTCTAATATTATCCCATTCGTTGCTGTTTGCATGTTTTAACTTAATTGCTAAAGGCATTGCTCACTTTCCTAGTACTATTTTAGTATGTAAAAATAACCAAAAGCTCGTTAATTTTTTAATTCGTCTCATATCTGGAATAAAGAATTGAAAAACTGGCAAAAAGAGCATAGTATTAAACACTTTCTTTTCATGTTCTGTGAAACTAGGTGGTATTTGCTTTCTAAAGTTTGACTTGGGATATCAATTTATGAACAAGATTTTCAACACTGCCTCTCATTAAGTGAAAATTCGAATCTTAGATACCCAAAGATTGAGAATACTGTTGTCAAAAATATTATCCATGACAAATATCACTTTGCCACTAATGATATACTGGTGAAGGTATTAAAGCCAGTTGTTGATGCCATTGATAGGCTAGAATCAAATGATTCTATGTTGGCTGATGTTTTTAAAGAGCTTGTTAATATCTATCAGCAAATATCTTAACTCAAGGTTCTTATTGATAATCTTAAAACCCATGCTCTTGCTATCATAAACCAATGTGTAAAGGAGTTTGATTTCAGCATATACTTTGTTGCACTCTTTCTCTCACCAACCTTCAAACAACTGGCCATATCTAAAAAAATAGATGTAATAAAATTATCCGCGCCTCACTTGAATTAGCTAAAGTATGAGAATTTAGCAAAAGAGATATGGGTCTTTTATATAAAGAATTAATTAATTACAAAAATAATGATCTCCTGTTTGATATCCCTCCACCTAGTTCTTCATGGTCATTATGCTCATTCTAGGCTGATTTTACAGGAAATGTGCCTCTTTTGTGTCGTTTTGCGATGAAAATCCTTGCCATTGTTCCTCACAATGCTAGTTGTGAACAACTTTTCTCAATGCTGGGTCTAGTTAAACCAAAAATAAAAAATCAGTTATTACCTGATAATTTATCAATAATTAGGCAGCTGAAAAATAAGCTCAAAAAAGATGCACCTAAGGTTAATAAGAAAAGCAAAGCCATATCCAAACCTTCATTTAATGATAATGAAAATATCAATATTTTTTTTGAAGACAACGACCAACAAATGGAGGAATTAATTGAACAAGAAGAATCAGATGAAGAACTAGATATTTTACCGAAGGCAGATGATTTGTATATAATGGAGGAATTTTTTGATTTTGTGGTGCTTAAAAAAGATCAAGAAGCTCATAATGAAGATTTATCCCAGGCTGACATGGAACTAAGCGAGCATATTGAGGAGGAATGGTCTATTGATGATATTGTTTCCTAAACAAAAAAAAATATTTAATAAATTTTTAATTTATATAAAAAATAAAGCTCTGATTTATTTTCTAATTTCGAATACTTATGTGGTTATAAAGATATACATTATATTGTAAGCACAATACATAACAATACATTTGAATATCATATAAAATAAGTAAAACTTGTCATGTGATTTATATACTAGGGGGCATGCCCGAGGCATGATAAGTGGGGCATGTCTTGGTTCGAGGCATGCCTCAAGGGGCATGCCCAAAAATTTTACCATGCCTCCCACACTATCATTGTGGGAAAAAAAATTGAATTTGCCGCGCATAGTATTACTAAAAAAAACATATTAGATAAAAAATTCAAAAAGTAATATGTGCATAAAGGCAGACATGCTAGTCAAACGAGGAACAAACAAGCCTATTCTTAAAATCTCTTACAATTATGTAAACTTACCAATTCATTTCCAATAGGAAAACTACTTAATTCCTTTTAAAATTCGAACCTTTATTAAAAACAT